GGCGCTTATTAAAGCAAGCACTAATTTTTCTAAGTGCGGATATCTAGTTTCGGCCTCACATAGATGCATCCGCCATCGTATCGTCCATCGGACATATCAAAGACACCACTTCAACAACAGAGATTCAAACAGTCAGAGCGAGCAAGAAGAGCCACAACACGTGATTCACATGATCGTTGGAGGGGTCGATTATCACGACCCGAATTCCCACCGTCGGGACCGTGATGGCTCCTAACATTGCACTCGCTAGGCAAGCCAACATTATAGAAATTTTCACCTTTTTCCTATACCTTTTTATAACTAAAAACTTAACAAAAACTAAATCAGCGGAAATAAAAGCGAAAGTACATGATTAACTGATTATCCTTAAGCTATCCATTGTTTGGTATGTTGTATTAAATATGACAATTGCATAATTTGTAAGAAGAATGTATAAGTTATACACGTACTAATTATCCCACCCTCTATAAGGTATAAGTTATCCCGGTGTTAATTTTAATCCTGGGATAACTTATACCTAATTTGCTAACCAAACGAAGTATTAAGGTGGTATTAAATTTTTATACCAACACTATACTTTCTAATACCTCATACCAAACGACCTCTAAATGTTCTTAGTAACTTTAGTATCTCTATTACTAATATGAAATGCTGCTCCAATATTATGAATACAACTTCCTTTTAACCAAAAACTAAAATAAAATAAAATTCACATGCTTTAGATAGGGATAGCATTGGGGCAGTTGCGGGGCGGGTTTAGCCTTAACCCACTAAGACTTCAACACGCACCGCTCCGCACCGCATAGTAATATTTTCAATTCTCAACCCGCACCGCATAAATCCGCACCGCACCGCACCGCACCGCCCCGTTTAAAAGCTTTTTTGTTTTTTTAAATGCTTTTCTTTCGTTTTCATTTTTAAGGATTAGTTTTTCTTTATTATGAGTTTGATTTCAAGAACAAATCCCTATTTTAATTTGTTTGAATTATCTTCAGAATTTCATAGAAGTATATATAATAACGATTGGAATTATCTCTGACCATAGTACTCTATCTTCACTGAAGGAACCAAGTCGTAATATATTGAAGATGTGATCAATTGTGATGACCCAAATGGTCATCACTTGTTTTAAATTAAATTCTATGTTTTCGAAGCCTTGAAAACCTCATTTAGAGTCACCTCAAATTGCGTGCGCAGTCCGGGCGCGTAGCTGGAAAGCTTAAATATGAAAATCTATGAAAAATTATAAAATTTGGTTATAAAATGAGCTAATTTGACTTCGGTCAACGTTTTGGGTAGGCAGACCCGGACCCATAATCTGACGGTCCCGAAGGGTCCGTAGGAAAATATGGGACTTGGGCGTATGCCCGGAATTGAATTCCGAGGTCTCGAGCCCGAGAAATGAAATTTTAAAGGAAATTGTTTTCTGAAATTGTTTAAGGAGATTTGAAATGAAATTTGATTAGAACATGTTAGTATTGGGCCAATATTTTGGTTCCGGCGCCAGGTACAGGTCTTATATATGATTTAAGATGTTTCTGTGAAATTTGGTGAAAAACGGATATCATTTGACGTGATTCGGACCTAAAATGCTAAAGTTGATGTTTTATGAAGTTTGGGGAATCCTTTGATTTTGAGGTTTAATTCGTTGTTATTGAGGTTATTTTGGCAATTTGATCGCGCGGATAAGTTCGTATGATGTTGTTGAGTTAGTACCTATGTTTGGTTAGGAGCCCCGAGGGCTCGGGTGTGTTTCGGATGTGTTTTGGGAGGTTTTTGACTTAAGAAAAGTTGCAGGTTTTTGCTGTTCAGTGCCCAGGGATTTTACCCTTCGCGTTCGTGTGGTCCCTATCGCGAACGCGTAAGGCAAAGATCCCAGGTGCCCAATTTCTTCTTCGCGAACGTGAAGGTTGAGACGCGAACGCGAAGCTGGGGGGGGGGGGGGGGAGACCCTTCGCGAACGCGTCCTTCCACTCGCGAACGCGTAAGGTTCTGGGGAGGGGTCACCAATTTGTTCATCGCGAACGCGGTCCTTAGCACGTGAACGCGAGGCTCGAGGAGTTCCTACTCCGCGAACGCGAGCCGTTGTCCGCGAACGCGAAGGCTTACCCAGCCTGACCCATCGCGAACGCGAAGTGCCCGTCGCGAACGCGAAGGGCAATTTTTTCTAGCTATTTTAAAAGACCATAAAACAGTAGCATTACGGGATTTACTCAAAATTTCATAACTTCTTCATCTTAACTCCAAATTGGGCGATTTTTGAAAGAGGATTTCACCAAACATTCATAGGTATGTAATCTTAGACTCATTTTCTTCAATTTCCATTAACACCCATTAGATTTCTAGGCCTAAAACATGAGGTTAAGGGTAGAAAATTAGGGATTTGGGTAGAGTTAGGGCTTTTTGATTAATTGTGATTTAGACCTCGTTTTGGAGTCGAATTCTGGAAATAGTTATATATTTGGGCTCGTGGGTGAATGGGTGATTTGATTTTGGTCCGAACCTCGTGTTTTGACCAAGCGGGCCCGGGATCGATTTTTGGGTTTTTGGGAAGAATTATTAGAAAGCTATAATTAAGCATTGGAATTGGATGGTTGTTGTTATTGAATCGATTATGCATAGATACGATTGTGTTGGAGCCAAATTCGAAAGGAAAGGTGGTATTTAAGGCTTGAGTTGGCCGTGGAAGTTTGAGGTAAGTGTTTGGTCTAACCTTAGCTTGAGGGATTAGGAGTTGAGTCCTATTTTCTATGTGGTGTTCGTTGTGTACGACGTATAGGCATGGCGACAAGTATCTATACGTTGGTGTCTAGCATGACCGTGAGTCTTTATATTATGAATATCTTGATTTCGTTATATTCTTCATGCCTTGGTGATGATTTCTAGTTGTTGAGAAAAGTTTGTTGAAGAAATGGTGACCTTTGAACATCTTGGAGCATTGACTCGAGTTATATTATGAATTGTGAAAGTATATAAGATGATTGAACCCTTTGGAGCATTGTCTCAAGTGGTAAAGTGAGTTATGAAGTAGAAGTGAAAGATAGAGAAAGAATTATTGAAATGTTCCCTTGTCGGGATTTAATTATTCTATTGTTGTTCCCTTGCCGGGATTTAATTGTTTAATTATTGTTCCCTTGCCGGGATTTCTATATGATCTTGTTTATTTCCTTGCCCTTGATTGTGATTGTTGTTTGGGTGAGGAAGAGTGTTAAAGCACGAAGTATGATGCCGTGCATTGTTGATATTGTGAGGAAAGAGTGTAAAGCACGAAGGGTGATGCCGTGCCGCACGATGTACCATTCCGTGCCGATTGTATTGATTACATGGTGAGGAAAGAGAGTAAAAGCACGAAGGGTGATGTCGAGCACATCTTTGATAAATAATTGTTTTGGTGAGGACGAGAGTAAAAGCACGAAGGGTGATGTTGTGCAAACTGTTGATTTCTGTTCCTTGTTGATATTCGAGTTATGTTGTTCCTTTCTTTACTTGATGCCTTTCTATTCAGAACTGTTATCTCCCCCACAACATGTTTCCCCTTCCCACATTGACTGGTTATTTCTGTATTTCTTTTTTCGCTGTATATATTTAAACTGCACAGGCTTATTTGGTAGTCTGGTCCTAGCCTCGTCACTACTTCGCCGAGGTTAGGCTAGGCACTTACCAGCACATGGGGTCGGTTGTGCTAAACTACACTCTGCACTGACTGCAGATCCCGGAGTAGCTTTCGGATTGTAGTTGGAGGGCTTCCTTCAGTCCACCCGGAGACCCAAGGTAGACCTGCAGGTGTCCGCAGGCCCTGGCGTCTCCCTCTATCTCTATTTCCTGTTTCCTTCTCTTTTATTCAGAAACAGTGTACTGTTATTCTTCAGACCTTATATGTAGTACTCTTAGATAGCCTGTGACACTGTGACACCGGATTTTGGGTATTTGTGGTTTTAGAAGTTGTAATAGACGTTGGTTCCAGATATTTTATTGTTACCTTCGGCTTAATTATTTAAAGTTCCGCTGATTTCATGTTATCGCTTATATTTGTTAAAAACAGTAATTTGTTAACGAAGTAAGTAGTTAAGTTTTGGCTTGCATAACTCCCAATAGTAGGCGCCATCACGACTTCCGAGGGAGGGAAATCCGGATCGTGACATCAATTTTACTTCAAGCTTTTGAATATTAATACCTTACAATAGTTTGCTGGGGAAGGAATTTATTTTTACAAAATTAATCTAACTCTGTCAGCCCTGTGTCATCAATATGCTTGCCTAACAAATGCACACACGGGGCTATTTTTATCTTGGGATTTTTTTCCTATCTATACCATATAAAAAACCTTATTACGAAAAATGCTCATAATTGGTTAATTACCCGCCCAGTCCACAGTTTTACTACAATTTATATACCAATCCATAATTAGGAAGATTCTCCCATTTAAAACGCGCTAAAAAGAAGGCACGAAATCTGCGTTTCATTCTTTCCACATTAAATACGAATTTTGAAACGTAAAGAGATTTCATTGCTGCGAAATACTCTCATTCACTATAATTCTAAAACAACGCAAGCTTCAGGAGCTCCAGTACTCAATTTGCTTTTACAAATTCTACAACGCAATACAAATTGTAGAATTCAAAATTGTTCTTCATCGACCTCAGTACTCAAATTGTCGAACCTATATCTGTTCTTCATCTCTTTTCTCTCAACTACACTAAATCATGTCAAAAATCCCAATAATGCTAAAATTGAATGGAAATTGGGATAACTATGGCAGATTTAGAGATTTTGAAGTTGATGCCATTGTGGTAGATGGGAATGCAAGCTACGGAATTCTGATTTCTACAATTGCAGAACAACTATCGATTGATACATCGGATAAAATTGTAGAAATCAAATACATTGTTAACGACAATGGAGATTAGGAATGATATGGGGGTTCGTGTGTATATGGAGACCAAAAGGAGAATAAGAACTTAGGTTCGTATCCTTTATGTATAAGCGTAAGAGATTTCAATATGGAATTGGCAATCACCAACAATAGCACAAGTGCAGGTATGTTTAATTCGACATTGCAGAGAGTTATTGTGTGAGTGTGTTATCTACAATATTACAACATTTATCTACAAATTAACTACAAAAAACAATGTACTGAAGCTCATAAAGCAATGTCGTTTTCAAAATTATCTGCATAGTTACTACATTTATATCTATGTTGCTGCAGGTTTGTCTGGATCACTAATGTTACTTGAAATTCCATCCTCACCAGCTATAGAGGAATATCAAAGTCAAATAATAACTAAATCTATGCAAACATATATTGAAGAAGGACAAGTTTATCAGGACAAGCAAACTGTAGCTGCTGCAATGAAGAATTTTTCTGTGATGCACAAGTTCCAGTTCAGAGTAAAAAGATCAAGTCATAGAGGGTATGGATTTATTTGTGGAGAATAGATCAATAAAAGCAGTGTCTTAGTGAAGATATGTGGTTTTTATACATTGTAGTTAAATTGTAGTTAAACTGTAGTTAATAGTAGTTTTGACGAATTTGTGTTAAAACAGTCCTTTTTGTTCCTTCTTCATCTATAGCATGTATTAAATATTGAATTTTTTTTGTAGCTACTGGCTTATATGCGTTGCTGAAAACTATAAATGGCACTTCAAGGCAACGTCAATTAATGATTCGGCAATGTTCAAGATAAGGAGTTTCAGCCGACAACACACATGCTCCTTAATGGACGAAACATTCGTACAGCGCAAACGTACTGCAGCTGTAGTTGGTAGCATGGTCGTTCCAAAGTATTGTGATCCTATGACTGTTTACACACCAAAGGACATACAAACTGACATGTTATCCGAACATGGACTAAACCTAAGCTACATGCAAGCATGGAGAGCCAAGGAAAAGGCTTTACAGTTTTTAAGAGGGAATCCGTCTGACTCCTACAGCAAATTACCCAAATATTTTTATATTCTTGAGGAGACTTATCCTGGTTCTGTTGTTAAATTGAAGAAGGCAGCAGATGATTGCTTCTTATACGCATTTGTTGCTCTTTGTACATCAATAAGTGGTTGGCAACATTGTAGGCCAGTAGTAGTTGTTGATGGGACATTCTTAAAGTCAGCCTATAGGGGGATTATGCTTACAGCAAGCACCATGGATGCAGTAGGTAAAAAATATAATAATTTTGTAGTTATTTTGTAGGCAGTCTGCAAAATGTAGTTAAATTGTAGTTGTATTGTAGTTAATAGAAAAAATGTAGTTAAAATGTACTTTAAATGTAGTCTAATTGTAGTCCTGACATTAATTTGTAGATGATTTGTAGTTAAAACGTATTTTAAATGTAGTTTAAATGTACTTAAATTGTAGTTTTGTTAAAAATTTGTATATGATTTGTAGATAAATTGTGGATAATTTATTTATATTATTCCTGTATTTATTTCGTCTTTTGGCTGTGTACTTTAATTACAAATGACAGTTATATACAGAAATTACCTAGAACTTGAAGGTATTTCAACAAAATTACTTGAAGATTAAAGGCGAATTGTATTTTAGCAAATCAGAGTACTCGCGTTTAATGTAATGAAGATAAAGTGCTGTGAACAACCAAAATGACATATTTCCTACAGTGTATTAAACTTCAACTACAAAATGACATCAACTAAACTAGGAACACAAGACTCTATTTCTTCTTTCTCTGTACTCTAGTCCTCTCATTTTTAGCAGGAGCACCCTTCCTCCTTAATAGCCTTCCTGTAACCTCACTTTCACTGATTGACCCATCTTCTTGCTTCTTTGTAGCATAGTCCCATAGTAGAGCTCCATAGCGTCTACGGTGTTGATCGATATCAGAAAGATCTTCTTTTGGGATTGCCAAATCTCCAAGGCTAACATACTCCGCAAAAGCCGCCACAAATACACCACAATCGCTGCATAAGATCAAATTTTTTCATTATGTAACAATTGATTAAAAGAAAATAATTAAACATATAAAAAGTGAGAATAGTTTTTTTACAGTGATCCTTCCTTTTGCTGTGGAATCTCCGCAACCATCCACTGCATGTTGAGAGGGTCTGTAACTGGTTTCTCAATGTATGCCTTTGTGGTCATGAAGTCAATGTCTTTACATTTCCCGTAGAAACCAGTGCAAGACAAATACAGAGGGATAATGATTGAAAACTTATCAACCAATGATTCAACAGTATTATGACGGTTTGAAGAAACCATGGAATCATAAACATAAAGTTGCCTGTCCGCTATGTCGAAAACGAGCAACAACCAATGGAAATTCTGTACAATGTTCACAGGCATGATGACATAGTCAACTACATCCCAGGCAACATTAGCAAGAAGTCTATACCCAAGGATATATTCTGCAACATCATCATCTGATTTAACAACCGAATACTTAAGTTCTGGTGGAGAACTTATGAACTTGTCATAGATTCGTTCAATCTTGGTCTTGAGCAAGCAATCGGTTGTTGTGAACCTAATGTCGTTGTTGGGGCCATACTTGCCTCTTTTTCTCAAATAATACATAATAACATCAATGTGCTGCAAAATAAAATAAAGTCTACTATAAGCTACATATTAACCACAATTATCTACATAACAGCTACAACTTAAACTACAATTTGAACTAATCAAATAATCTAACAGATTGCTACACTTTAGCTACTATACAGAGGAACAAATGCAACATAGCAACTAACATAAGGTCTCAAAAATAATCAAAATCAACCTACAGTTAATATTATAAGTCTATGTAAATTTCTCTACAATGTTACTACAAAGTAACTACAATTATGGTACACAGGTATTTTCAATTCTGTCCAAAGTACCAAAAAATCCAATTTGTACGTACAATCATCATCGAATATGAGACATAAGGTCCATAAAAAGCACAATTACACAGCTGAAGACAAAACATAGTAACCTATATATCTTGTCTACAATATAACTACAAATACACTACACAACTGAAGACAAAACTATAATATAACCAGAATTACACTACACAGCTGAAGACAAAACGCATATTGTGAATGATTCTGTTCTTTATACTTACCGTGTTATTGATGACTTGTCCTGGGTGAGCAAGGGCATAAAACCAGTCCTTCTTATCCACCTTTTCACAACCAAAGTCTAACCAAGGCTTGATTTGGTTATCCTTTTTGGAAAAGTATTCTTTCCTCCTGTAATAACAAAAAAATATCAAATAAAAAAAATGACAGAATGAATTACATATTTAAAGTTTAAAAATGGCGAAATGAAAGTGTAAAATTAAGCATTCATACCTCTTAGATACTTTGTCACTACGAAGGTATAACCAGTTGGTGAACCTTTCTATCAAATCAGCATCTACATTTTCACCTATAACAGTTGTGAAGGGTGCTTGAGTGAAAAATTTAGGTCCGACAGAGGTGCTGCCTCCAGAACTATACAGAGGTGTGAAAGGTGATCGTGCATGTTTCCCCGGTTGCCTGGTTCTACCCGGATGAATAGGGGTTGCTTCATCTGGTATGGGCTCGACATACATGACCAATTGTGTTAAGTTGTCTGGCAACTCAAAGTCATCCAATGTCAGACCTTTCTTGTCAATGCCTGAACCTTCAGGAACAACTTCATTCACAGTCACACCGTGAATTGGCAACTGTAGACGTTATCTTCAATATCTGTTACATATAAAATAACATACTTAACAGCATTGTATAAGTGTATAAGCAACAATTATCTATTCAAAAGTATATTATGATACTATACCTGCTTTTTCTATCTCAGCTCCTTCCTGAAATCCTGGTTCTTCCTCAACCATTGCTGGCGCACCTCCAGGAGAAACTTCAGCTTCTGAAGATAAATGTAGATGTATGTAGTTATGCACAATATTGTAGATATAAAGTAAATATAATGAGCTTCTGATATTATACCTGCTTGTTGTGCCTCAGCTACTTCTTCAAATTCTGGTTCTTCCTCAACATGTGGTTGCACATGGTCCGGAGAAATTGCAGCTGCAAAACATAGTGAAAAAGGTGTTAATATAATTAGATAATGCTTTCTTGAAGTTTGTAGATATGCCTGTAGGAATTCTGTAGATACCGGTATTGCTTGTGCTTGCATGCACTTGATCACCAATATTGAACTGAAATTGCTGGTTGTTCTCTCGTTGTTGTTGGTCATTATTTTTGGTTGAACTACCAGCAAACTACAATTTTTGGGTATGTTTGAGTATACTTGTTTCATATGCCATAATTAGTTTTACTACAAAAATATATGTCAATTCTTACCTTTGACTCGTCCACATCATACTTGCTGTTTATCACCTTCATAACACTCTTCACAGAAACATCTATGAACTCTCGAAGGCTTGAGAGTTCCTCAAAAACAGCCTCCTAAAACTTATCTAACTTTCCACTCAACCTAAAAGACTTAAAAAATTATAAGTTAGTTGGTAATTTAAATTCAAACTGACTACAGTTCTA